TAAGAGTTCATTACCCATGTGGGCTTTATTTTATTTTTTCCATTACCAGGGATTGAACTCGGGACCCTGCTCTTGCCAGGCAAATGCTTATTCTACTGAGCTATCTCCCCAGCCCCACGTGGGCTTAATCATAGAGCTGATGGGGTCTGTCCATATGGAAGAGAACGGCAGAGCTGGACATGAGGTAAAATTGCTGAAGTAAATGCAGAACAAGACAAATTCTCAGGGAATGCTAAGGAAAAGGCTAAAGAAATTAAGACAAGAAATAAACAGGGAGACACAAAGCCTATGCAAGAAACATAATCTATGCCTAATAGGAATACCTGAAACAGAGACAAAGCCAATTAAACTGAAACAATACTTAGGGAACTAATTAAAGATAACTTTCCAGAGTTGAAGAATAAAGTAGGATTACAAATGAAGAAGGCTCACAAGGTACCTTTAAAATTCAACGAGAAGGGGGGCTGGAGAGATGGCTCAGTAGGATAAGGGCTTGACTGGCAAATGCAAGGATCTGAGTTCAATCCTCGGTTCCGCCAAAAAAAAAATTCAACGAGAAGAGAGCAACACTTAGATAATATCCTTGAAACATTTTTCAATTTCAAGGATGAACATATCTAGGCAGAGAAAGCATAAAAGTTATCTATAAAGTCTGACTTCAGGTTTTTCTCTTGCAATCCTAAATGCCAGAAGACAATGAAATGACAGCTACATAGAGTTTATTTATTTATTTATTTATGGGGGGGTGGGTATTTCTGGTATTGGGAACTGAACTCAGGACTTCATGCTTGCCAGGCAGGTGCTGTGCCACTGAGCTATATCCCTGGCATCATTTACAGTTGTTTTTTTTTTTTTTTTTTTTTGCAGAACCGGAGATTGAACTCAGGCCCTTGGCGAAACCAGGGATTGAACTCAGGCCTTATTCTACTGAGGTATCTCCCTGGCCCCACCATTTACAGAGTTTTAAGGAAAAATAATTTTGAACCAAGAATTATTTATCCTGCCAAGTAAGTATTTGTGTATGAAGGCAACTGGAAGACATTCTCAGATACCAAGGGGTTAAAAAAGTATATCAACCAAGAACCTTCTCTAAAAATTTTGCTAAGTGATTGCTGCAGCCAATAGAAACAGTGAATTGGGAAAATCACTAATACCAGTAACCAGTAACAAATCCTCATCCTTCAGACCCCAAGTTATTAGTTATTTTAGTATCAGGGATCAAACTCAGGACTTTGTGCTTGCCAGGCATGTGCTTATGCCACTGAGCTATCTCCCTGGCCCTGTGTTCCTATAATTAAATAATTACCTGAAGCAAGTAGTTTATATTCCACTCACTGTTAGAAGTTACATAAATGGGAGGGTTTTTGGTTTTTTTTTTTTCAGACAAGGTCTCACTGTGTAATTCAGGCTTGCTTTGAATTCATTAGGTAGCCCAGGCTGGCCTTGAACACAATGGCAATCCTTTCTCCACAACCTTCTGAGTACTGGTAATACAGGCATGCACCATCACATTCAGCCCACCTAGCACAGAGCCCACCATATAGTAAGATGTACAGTAAGTATTCACCAACTAGTGTTTCTTAATTTGTTTTGTTCTTCTTAGGGATAAGACTCTAAATAAGTAAATAGGGAGAAAGAAATCAGCAAGGAAAGGCCATGGTGAGCGTACTTCAGAGTTGCTGACCGAGTTTCCAAGTCTGACGCTGTAGGCTCACAGGCTCCGTGCCCAAAGACTACTGAAAACTAAGTCTTAGGGAATCTGGATAGTTTTCACTAGCATTTGGGAAAATCTCAAGCAGTTGTTACCTTCAAAATTGGAAACTAAATACATACTGCTTTTTTTGCACCTTACCTGCTTCTAGGTCATCTTCATCTAGTTCTGGGGTGCCGTAACTACGACTCAGTGCTTCTTGAATTTCATTTGCATCTTCCATCATATCCTCTAATTGGTCTTGTAAGTCCTGTAGAAATATGAGATAGGACTTCCATTCATTTCTTTTTTACCATTGTCTTTTAAGTACCCTATTCCTTACATTCTCCTTTGAACTTTAGTACTTTTTTTAAAAAAAATGTACCTAAAACGTCAAGCACATAAACAATTCTCAGCAAACTGTTAGTTTACCTAATTAATCCCAGTCTTTGCCTAGCAACTGCTACTAGTCAATGACTGAGCAGACATTCTTCTATGTGAATCCTTTACTTTGTTGTTCCTTTGCTTAGTGCTGGGAATGAACCAAGGGTCTTATGCATGCTAAGCACATACTTACCACTGAGCTAGCTACACTCCAGCCACTGGACTGTCCCTCCTAGTTAACAATATTACAAAGGGTGCTTAAAGAATTACTTAAAATCTGAAGGTATAACTTAGTGGTAGGGTACTTGCTTAACATGTTAAACTTGTTAGGTTTGGGAATGATTTCCAGCACTATAAAGGAAAAAAAGTATCAAAAGTCACAAGTCCAAAAGATTTACTCTAGGGCCGGGGATGTGGCTTGGTGGCGCAGTGCCTGCCTAGCAAGCGCGAGGCCCCGAGTTCGATTCCCGGTACCAAAAAAGAAAATAGTGAAAATAAGACCAAAAAAAGTCCTTTTGGAAAAAAAAACAAAAACCCTTTGGGGGCTGGAGAGATAGCTCAGTAGAATAAGCGCTTGCCTGGCAAGTTCAAGGGCCTGAGTTCAATCCCTGGTTCCGCCAAAAAAAAAAAAAAAAAAAACTTTGGGCTGG